GGGAATGGAATGTGACCTCTGCATGTTTTTGGGTGGAGCTAGCTACTCCCATCCAAGCAGACCCTTTTTGGATTATGGGGGATAATGGACTGACCTGACAACCCCCGTAAAGAGGCAGTGGGAGTTGGGGAAGTAGCCAACTGGTGAATCCTGAAGAACTGGGAGGGGTGTGGAAGCCTGTGGTCCACAAGAAGTTGGGGAGATACACACTAAATTCTGCTTCTGAAACCTGGAACAAGAAATTGAACTTTTCCATGTTTTGGATCTGACTGGGACCAAAATTCCAGGTGGTGGATCCAGATATAACACTTGGAAACTGAAACCCCACTCCCACCCCAATAATTTGGGAATATGTAGATCTAGAGTCCTAGAATTACTGAGACACCTGAGTTCAGTTCATTTACCAAGCCAGCCTATCCATACTGCAGCATTTGAAAAGACCATTCTTCCTTTTATGGTAAGTCATGCTGCAGAATTTCTCAGTCAGGTACGCAGTGGTTCTCAAACTTAGGGTCAGGACGCTGAAGCCCGAACCCGTACTGCCCAGGTCTGACACTGAAGCCCGATGTTGGCGGGCCTTGGACAGGCTCAGGCTTTGGTCCGCTCCTGGGGTCGTGTACTGATTTTTGTTGTTAGAAAGGGGTCATGGTGCACTGAAGTTTGAGAACCACTAGAAGAAAATGACTCAGTCCCATTCAGATGAAATACATTTCCCTTGGAGATTCAAGTGTCAAAGTTTCCGAGTTTAAAGATGTTTTCTTGAGTAAAATATTCCTCATCTCTGCATCTCCTGACCCCCTTCCTGCCACCCTTCTCCAAAATCACTTATAGGAAATACTTCATATGAAGAATAGTGCTGCATCATTAAAATCCTGCACCATTAAAATCAACAACAGATTAGCAGGATTGGGCCCTTAGCCAAGGAGGAATAACCCATGGTGTATAAATGATCACTTGAATTGTCTCACTTTTTCTAATGAATATGCAAAGGTACTATATATTGAAAATGCTAGATCGAATGCTAGCTATAACTCGTTGGTAATTCAGTAGCTAATATGCGTGGCTTTCCCCTTCTGAGATTAAAGAGCTGCCAGAGTTTTCAGTGAGCTAATGAAAAAATTACTAGTAAGTTTGATTTCTTTTATTTATTTAGGCAAAAGATTTATAGATATCTTCTTTTGGAAGCAAATGGAGATAAAGGTGTCTGTCCACAGGAGTCCAAAAGACTACTCAAATAACTGATGTATAGGATGGAAATGATTGGTGTAAGCAGCTCGTTGTAAATAAAATAAATTAATGGAGATATCCCATCTCCTAGAACTGTAAGGGACCTTGAAAGGTCATCAAGTCCAGCCCCCTACCTTCACTAGCAGGACTAAGTACTGATTTTTCCCTAGATCCCTCAATAGCCCCCTCAAGGATTGAACTCATAACCCTGGGTTTAGCAGGCCAATGCTCAAACCACTGAGCTATCCCTCTACTGATGATGAATGCACCTGCAAGCAGCACAGGAAAGGTTCTGAAGCCCTCCAAAATCTCCTGGATTTGCACTGGGTTTGAAATTCTTCTTTGCGTGTCTGTGTTTACAGGTGGTGCTGGTAATGATATTTCGCATAATAAGAACAGCAAACAAAAAATGTCTTTTGTATCAATGTAAAATCCTTTCTGATCAATTTCATTTTAAGATGGGGTTATGTAGCCAAGGATAATAACCAGACAGCATGATGTTATTAGGCTTCACAACTAAAGGTGTGAGCCTAACAACATTTCCATGGAAGTAGACATCTGCATGGGATTATGGCAGGATTATGCTCTCTCAAAGGCAATATTTCATGCTCTTGATGAGCTGGGGAAGAAAATGCCTGCTTCTTTAGTAGCCCTCTGCTTTTCCTAGAGTTTATTGGCTGAAACTAGGGCAATCAAACTTCCATCTCAACTGGGAGATAGAAACAGATTGGCAATACCAGCCCTTTCTTTGCTATTTGCATACACAGTGCCCTGGTTTGAAGAGATCCAACCTGCAGTTTGAGGATTATTATATCTATGCAAAAGCCTTCCAGCTCCATTCCTTTTCTAAACCCTGCAGCTGTCCTCCTTTGGCTTTTGGTACATTCCTTGCACTGAGAGTTTCCTCTCAGGGGTGTGTGTGCGCATGAATGTGATAAGGATGGTATGTCAAACATATTTAGCTGTCCCTCTCTTTCCTTTTGGTTTTTCTAAATAGGTGCAAGCTTGCTGTCTTTCCAACCAGTCCCGACAGCAGGAAGGAAGCTGTTTTTTTACAAAATGTCCCTGTTTAAGGGATTATCTAAGTGGCGCAGTGTTACTTCAGCTTGGCTAAAGTTGGGAAGAGAGACAAGAGACTCCCCATAAAAGGAAAACCTGAATATAAAATGTCAGTTGTTTCACATTTCCCTCCCACCTCATAAAGATAGAAGCTGTTTACCCTGGAGTGGGGGAAGGGAGAATAAAAGTTATTCCCTTCTCCAATTTGAACCAGAGCAAGAAGGCCTGGATCTGTCAGCTACTGCCTGACAATTCACTGCTATTAGGGGCCAACTGTGGTTAATTTAAGGAGTCCCAGGTAGAGCACTAATTAGTAAGGCCTAAGGCAGCCTGGGTAATTCTGCTGTAGAAAAACTCTACCACAGAAGGGTGGGGTTTACATTAGGCAAGAGCTGCAGGAAGAGAGAATGGCAAATACAAAGCTCTAACTAAAGCCTTAGCCGATGGAAGTTAGGCTAGGTCTACACTACCCGCCTGAATCGGCGGGTAGAAATCGATCTCTTGGGGATCGAATTATCACGTCTCGTTGGGATGCGACAATCGATTCCCGAATCGACGCTCTTACTCCACCAGCGGAGGTAGGAGTAAGCGCCGTCGACGGGGAGCCGTGGAGGTCGATTTTGCCGCCGTCCTCACAGCGGGGTAAGTTGGCTCCGATACGTCGAATTCAGCTACGCTATTCGCGTAGCTGAATTTGCGTATCTTAAATCGACCCCCCCCCCCGTAATGAAGACCTGCCCTTAGAGAGCTCGGGAAGTTCAGGTTCCCCTTCATCCCCACTAATAAAATGTGCCATATGCATTTTACCTCCACTTGCTCTGAGCAATCATTTTGCAAGCCTGTCCCAGCCACTCAACCAGTGATGTGTGTTGGTACAGAGCTCTTCAATTTGTGTGATTAATTTAGGTCTTTGCCTTCACAGATGGCTCATGTTGGCGGGTAGCTAAATGTGGTGATCCCAGGCTTTGGGAGCTGCTGTTACTATTATTACTACTTATTTGTTTGTGGCATGGTAGTGGTGGAAGGCCCATTTATTATTATTTATTTATATTATTGTAGTGCTTGGGAGCTCCAGGCATGGATCAAGACCCCATTGTGCTAGGCACTGGGTCAAGCACAGACCCTAAAGATGGTCCTTGTCCCAAAGAACTTATACTCCAAGTTTAAGACAAAAGACAACAGACAGATGGGGGAGCATAAGGAAACAAGGGGACAGTATTGGTGAGCATGATAGGCAATGATCTCACCACATCAGCAGGGCCTCAGGAGGCTAGGCATTGTACATGCACCTATTCAAAACAAAGTCCCTGTACCTTACAGTCCATTCATATAACGAGGCAATAACAAGTGGATAAGACAAATGATGAGGGAAGACAGGTAAACAGCAAAATAATCCCGATTAGCTTATTAAATAGCTCAACCAGCCCACCCACTGCCTAGCGATTGGTTAATGATTTTTAGGCATCACTGCAGGGGTAAAATTCAAGGAGGATTTGAAACAGGGAAATGTCGTGGTCTTGTGGATTTTTATGAGGAACTCTTCCCAAGCATATTCCTGTTAGCGGCAGGGATAACCTTAAAATTGGAGCACCGTGCGGAGAAGAGAAAGGAATCCCTTGGAATATTTCCAAGGTAGTTCAGGGATCAAGTGCAAACTCCTAGTTGAATACTACCATGCAACCTTGGGCTGTGATCTCACAGGATGAGAGAAGACCCCAGTTGGGCTGTAGGAAAAGGCACTGGTGATCTTGTACATGGCACCATTCCCTTTAAATGAATACTGAACCTATCCCGCAGCATGGTACTGTTTTGCTAGCAGGTGCTGTGGAGCTGCCAGGAGTGATGAGCTCTCAAACATCTGTTCCTGACAATCTGTTGGAACCAAATGGCATTTTGCACAAGTGTTGGCTCGTTAGCTTTGTCCTGCCCATACTTCAGTACAGCTGCCTACCTAACTTGCCTGGTAGTTACATATGGTTATTCTGGTCTTCAGGTCCTCTGTAAAGGATCGATGTTCCCTGGTACTCTGCTGCTGTATGTCAATTTAGAGGTAGCTCTGCAACAAACCCACTACAAGTCTTCATCACTGTGGGAACCCAGTCCCTTCAGCACTAAAAGAACAGACCTCTCCCATTTGGGCCAATGATGTATCTCCATTAGCTGGCAGAGGTATCCAGCTGTTTTCTTCTATCTAGATCAGCCACTAGAAGGATATATGACATGCACTTTACAAGCATGTTACAGCTGGACTTCTGTGGTGGGCAAAGTCATGCAAAGAAAAAAATGGGGGGAGAGGAGGAAATCACAACTTTCTGAGAGTTGCAACAATGCTGTATAGTTTGCACAAACCATTAGTTCGGATTGTAAAGCACAGTGGATAAAAGGGGCTAAAAATGTGATGTATACAACCCGACTCAGAAGCAGCACCATGCATCACAAGATTACAACAGGCCGAAGAGTTGTAAACATTCAGCAAAACACAAAATCTATGGTGCTGATTTAAAACTGCAGGTTAAGTATGGAAATCAGATCTCTTTTGGGGAAAGAATTCTACCAAAGGCAAATTTGAAGAGTACAAACTGTCTATATAAATGTGCAAATGGAAGGTCTGAGGTGACAATACCTCTACTGGTTGGAAGCAGAAGCCAATTTATGAAAATATTGGTTAGTGAGGTACTATGGTCAGGAAGATCTTTAAAGTCAGTATACAGGGATTGAACATAATTCTTTGGTTAATGTGTAACATTAAATAAATAACCAAGGGTAGTGAAAGAGTTCAAAGGGTAGTGAAAAACTAAGCAATCATATTGGGTTTGGATAACCTGTGATGTGGATCTTGGACCAGTGTCCATTCTTGGCCGTTCCTTTAATCTCCAGTTTCATGTGTCATCTAGATACAGAACTCCTCAGCTGCACCTTTCTTTGGAATGGTCACAGCTTGATAACCCTATTTGTATCCCAAAGAAAATCTTTTCCATCAGCAATGTCTAATGTGTCTATATTTTTTATTACTCACTTAGCATATAAAGGAATATTCCTTGCTGCAGAGCATAAGAGAGACATCCCCTAAGTGTTACCATACTTGGTGGAGATTTTCTATTCTTATATTACTTTTTATTTGAAAACGCTTCATTACTTTCTTAAGTATAGGACTCTCTCTGCAGCTAGTGCTCTCAGCAGCTGCTAGGTTTACTAGTGCAATGTAATGGATGCTAAATTTACCATGAGCAAGATATTTCCAGTTTGAACCACCTTTGATTAACTGGCACAACAGTAATTTAAAATGTTCATGGCTGCCTTCCCTCTCAGTGTTTCACCAGCATTCGTGGGCATGGAATTTTATGTTCTGCAAAGCCCTTGGCGATGAAAAGAGAAAATACAGTGCAATTAAATACACCCCTGAAAGGACAAGAGGTCAGTGTAAAAGACTTATAATATCAGCTGCACAACGATTATAGCCCTCATCCAGGAAGATCTCAATTTTAGTTGTAACTAAGCCTTCTGTTTTGCTGTGTCTGTTACAGACCTCACGATTCACAGACTGCTCGGAAATTGGGTAAGTGTTTTTTTTACCCACACTTGAGAAACCACTTTTTAAATGTATGGTTGGAAAGTCTGGCTTGTACAGCAGACCACACAGTCATTCTCCCAGTGAAATTCAATGCCTTTGGTTTATTTTGTTTTACCTAAGACACCGCTGAAGCAAAAATGGTTTTGGAGGAGATAAATCTCTTTCCATCCATGTTTATGATTTTTAACAGTTTATTGACAATCCTTTCTGTGCCTCCTGAACTGACTCTGCTCCTCTGTTTCCTGCACTATTCTTCCCACAGAAAATAAGGCAAAGGCCCCTTTCAAAGAACAAGCGATTGGATATGCAATTTCATAGTCTTGCGACTCTGGGTGTCCTTACTGGCTGTATTCGATAAGTGATCCAGACAGCCAAGAATGATTTACTGCTAGTCTCAGTTTCCCCTTGCACTAGGATTACAGTCTGGGAGGCTTTTCAACAGCGTATTCCCAACCCCATTTTTAATCAGTCTTTCACCCAGATTGGCCAAGAAAAAAGTAGTAAAATCAGAAGGAACGCTGGCATCTGTTATGTGACTCGGAACAGAACAGAGTTTGTCTCCGTTCCATTTTCTGCAGCTCTAATTTTTTGGTGACCACACACAAATGGTTCTAATCAGCTTCCAAAAGGTTGTCAGTTTAAAATGTTTGCTCTTTGCATTCTTCTAAGAATTACTTGTAACTTCCAATGTCCCTTTTCCCCTTCACATCTGAAAGCAAAGAGGATGTTGAAAAAATGGACAATTTCTTTTCTTTTTTCCCCTTTTGTTTCCTGACCAATTTCAGTTTTCCATTAGCTGAACACTCCTATTGAGGGGTGTTATGCAATGTAAGTGCAGCGGATATGGAAACCTCTTTATTATGCTTGGAATGTCAATTTGGACATTTGTTTTAGTTGGACCATGCGAAACATGTTCAAGGCAAGCACAAGCCAGCAGTTTGCTTCTTTAATGATCCTCTGCTAATGGGGTTGGAGCTGTCAGTCAGTGATACATGCTTCTTGATCGCAGGTGAATTCAGGTGCTCATCAGTTTGGGGCCAATTGGAAGCTGACAATGCCCTTGTCAATCAAGCCCCCAAGAGACATGGATGAGATATATCTTTTGGTACTTAAGAGGCAGCATCCCTCAATCATAGTGCCATTGCATAAGATGCCATTAGAGGTCTTTTATTTTAAGATGACATCTAAAGTCTAAAATGGTAAGAAAAACATAAAGCTTCAAAGAAAGAAAGAAACTTGGTAGCCATTGTGACTTATCGCCGTGAGAGAGCAGATGTATTACTGAAGAAAAGAAGAGACTAAATGCCCAGCAATCAAATGCATGCCTCTTTTCCAACAATATTTTCTTTTTGCTATAGTATCTACAGTGAAATATATTCCTTTATAAAAACAAAAACAAGCGCTTGGCACAGGCCTGTCCAATCACACATTTTGCACAAGGCCAGGCCAAGATGGAAAAATATTAAGTGTATTTTTCCTGAAGTTTTCCATATTTTTTGCAGTGTGAAAACAAATGTGAGATGCTCAGATTTTTTTGGATACATTTCAGCAGCATGCCACAAGAATGCCATCTAGCCAAAGAAACTCTAAAGTGCCGTCTTTCTGTATTGTAAACCACAATACATTCATATTTCTGACATAAGAAAGAACACTACATAAGCAACTTCAGCTCTTAGGAAAACTCTTAGGAGCCTCCACAGAAAGGCTGCACGAACACCCCATGGCCTGTGGAGGAAGATTTGTTCTCCTTATCTCCCTGTATATCTAGGCTCTGATCTTGCAAACACCTTTACAGGGAACTACTCATGGGCCTGACCTACAGCCCATTGAAGTCAATGAAAAGCATTTCATTGACTTCAGTGAGCTTTGGATCAGGACCCATGGGTGAAATTCTGGCCTCAATGAAGCTCCTATTGACATCAGTAGGGCCAGGATTTCACCCCATGTGCATTAAGTTATTTACTTTTGTATTTGAAGAATCAGAGCCCTACACAAAGCACCCAACCTATGTGGATAAGCTCAGCATGTGGTCAGGAGTTTGGCCTTAGAGTTAAACTGAAAACACGTCTTTCAAAGACCTTTCCCTTCTTTTTCGTTACATAAGTGAGGCTAAAAAGAAGCAAAACTTCTTTGTCAAACTTGAGGAATAGTGTCAAGCTGAGAGTCGTAACCATGCGGTGTAGAAAAAATATGACTGATGCCTTCCCTGGCTATACCAAATCCTTCTGAGGAGTGAAGACATGGTTGATTCTCAGGAGGACTTCTTGAGATCAGGGTCCAGAGTGCGAATAAAAGCCAGTTTAAAAAAAATCAAGCCATGTATGATGATATTAGGGGAAAATCCTGTTGTGCCAACTTGTTAGCCAAGCGTTCTGGATGGAAATGAATTTCAACCCTAGTGAAGGCCATTAGCACAGTATCTGAGCTCCTCACAAGGTTGATTGTATTTATCTTCGCAACACCCCTGTGAGGTAGGGAAGTGCTGTTTACCCCCATTTTACAGATGGGGAGGCAGGGTGCACAAACTTAGGGCTTGTCGCAAAGCCTAACTTATAGATGCCTAGAAAATCACAGGGAGATACTGTGATCCACAAAGCCTGAGTTAGATGCCCCATGAGAGATAGGCACCTTCAACTGCAGTTCACAAAAGCCAGCATGTTAGGTGGGGCGCCTCCTACGCTAACCAATGAGAGATGCCAAAAAGAAGGGTGTCTGCTAAGGCCCACCCCTCTCATGGTGATTGGCACCTAAGCCCAGGCTTCAGGGAGGTATCTATCTCTGCTATCACAGCCGGGAGATAGGCACCTATGCTGCTTTTGCGGGGAGTGGAACCCCATCTCCCTCTCATAACTTTTAGCTCAGTGCTTGTCCTGGTTCAAATCTCCCCTCTGTCTCAGGGAGAGAAGGAATTTGAATAGGAATCTGCCACCTCTTAGGTGTGTGCTCTAACTACTCGGCTATGGGATATTCTGATGAGGGGCTTCCTCAGTCTCTTTTGTTGACAATGTTCTACTGTGGCTAAATAAATAAAAAGTCATGGAAGTGGGGGGGGAGGGTTCTGTAGAGTCATGCTTTCTCTTTGGCCCAAACGAGTCTTGAAGCTGTTCAAGTGTGGAGTGAGAGAAGGATTTAGGCACCTAAGCACTTTTGTGACTCCAGCCCGAAAAGATTAACTGACTTGCCCAAGGTCAGGCAGGTCATTGCACAGCGGAGACTTGAACCCAGGTTTTCCAACCTCTGATTCTGGCCTCTGCTGCTCACGAACTGAACAATTTCTCAAGAAGTGGGGATTTTTCAGGGGAAAATTCATACAGGGAGGAAATATTTTAAATGGAAAGAATGAGGCCTGCCTGGGTGCAAAAGAGGTCTCTTACTTCAGATTTCTTTGGGAGAGCACGATTTTTGTAAAAGAATGGGTTTGCATATCTCATTGATTAATGTGTACCCTGCACCTACAGAAATGAGGAGGCCTTGGTGATCCAAAATGGTGATCCTTAATACTGGATCCTGATACCCCAGTGATTGAGCAAATAGATTAGATAGATCAAACTGCATGTGTTAATGTCCAAAGAAATCCAGTTACATTTTAAAAGCATCCAATAATGGGCTAATTATGTCATATTGGGTAGCTCATGCTCATCTCCAGAGCATACAAAGAAACATAAAAGGGCAATACTGGGTGGAACGTCATTGAAGTACTGATTATAATGATGTTCAACATCTCCCCAAGACACTGCATGTTATTGCTCGATAAATATTTTTTCAGCTGTTTTTGTGCAGAGGTGACAATGAGTGGCTGATAACACCACATAATAGTGGTAACTCTATGGGGTTTTATTGAGGGTTATCCCAGGAATACATCCTAGCACATGCTTCCTACAGAGAGGTGACAGCATGAGTTTCGAATCAACCACCTGAGTTTAGCCAAGTTCAGCAGAAATTATTCCTCCTCAATACACCAGCCAGTATAAATCAGTCTAGCGCCACTGAGACCAATCAAGCTGTGCTGATTAATGTCTACTGGAGATCTAGCCCTTAATGTGGGGATGAGCAAACAGTATATAGACTAATCCCATTGTGTCAGAGCTGCCCATGTACCATAGCTGTGTTTTCTGATGTCCTTAAGAGAAGAACCATACTTAAGAGACAATAGTTCCCAGAACGTTATTGTGTATGAGATGAGCAAGATAGCACATACTCCTTAAGTAGCAACAAGATTGCTGAACTTTTCCATACTGGGACCCCCTTTTCCCTACTGGACAGCCTATTCCCATCTAGCTGGGATCTAGCTTTAATTCCTCAACCCCCCTCATTTGGTAATAAGGCAAAGGAAGGCTGGTCATGACCCCCTGACACCGATTTGTGACCTGCTGTGATGTTTTGGGGATCATTCAGACCAGTAAGGGGTCCTGTCACCACTTGGGTGCTTTTATGCTGTGCAGCTTTGGTTCAAAGCCCTGACACCAGTAGCCTGCCAACAAGCCTAGTTTCTCCTTGCATGGTGTCTCCAACAGCCCTTCCAGTTCTCAGAGTCCCCAGCTCCATCCACCCCAAGTTCTTAATTACCGGACACTCAGACTTTCTCCTCTGGTTCATCACCCCACCCCCACCCAAGGCATGAAACCAGCCCCCAGACACCAGCTGATTTTGGTACAATGGAGACCTGCTTGGTGTAAGAACAAACAAGTTTATTTAATAGAAAAACCACAGACCCAAAGATAAAATAGCGAGGGAGAGCAAATATATGCCAGTCACACAGTAAATAAATATATAGATGCAACCCTCAGGCTTTACACTTCAATATTAGATAAAATCCCTGCTCTAATACAAGTTACCTATTTCCTTTGAAGAGTTTCCCTGCTTGGCCTCTGCCATAGCAGCATTTCACCGACAGCACCCGCCAAGCTACTGTCCCTCAGGGCAGGTCTACACTACAAACACTGCATCGGTGCAGCTGCGCTGCTGAAGCAGTTTCATGAAGATGCTCTAAGCCAGTGTTTCTCAAACTGGGGTTGCCGCTTGTGCAGGGAAAGCCCCTGGCGGGCTGGGCCGGTTTGTTTACTTGCCCCGTCTACAGGTCCAGCTGATCACGGCTCCCACTGGCTGCGGTTCGCTGCTCCAGGCCAATGAGAGCTGCTGGAAGTGACACGGGCCGAGGAACTTACTGGCCGCCACTTCTAGCAGCTCCCATTGGCCTGCAGTGGCGAACTACGGCCAGTGGGAACCGCGATCGCCGGACCTGCGGACGGGGCAGGTAAACAAACCGGCCTGGCCCGCCAGGGGCTTTCCCTACACAAGCGGCGACCCCAGTTTGAGAAATACTGCTCTAAGGCAATGGTAGAGAGTTCTCCCGTCAGCTTACTTACTTCTCCTCCATGAGAGGCGGTAGATATGGTGACAGGAGAAGCTCTCCCACCGACATAGTGCTGTCTACATGTCAGGGTTAAGGTCGGTATAACTACGTCGCTATGTGAGCACTGTGGTTAAACCAAAGTAAGTGTGTAGGGTTCACATGGCCTCAGTTTCTGGATCAAGACCTTAGTTTCAAGCCTCTTTTTAAAAACAGCTTTTTCCTTTTTTGTTTTTTCTCTCCTGCCATGGTGACTCATGGTTCGTCAGGGTAGAAAAATTCTAAGGGATGTTTCAGTGTCTTTCCATTAACTCTAATGGCCTATCTTTTGTCTGTTCCTGGGTTGTATAAGGCTAGGTGCTTGGAGCTAGTCTCGTCTGCTTGAGGGGGCAGCCCCTCCCTACCTGACTGCCCATCACCCTGCTGGGAGGTGGAGGTGAAGCTGCATCAAAGATTATCAGCACAATTTTCTATATACACAAATACTTAACTTCAGAACCATAGCCTATATACATATCTCATAATGATTATTAAGCTTATGATTACCAGCTTTCATTTTGATACACTGTAACTTTGTACACCATCAGTTGGTTCAGTGGCCCATTCTTTGGGGTTCAGACCCCCTCTTCTCCCCTGGGGATGATTGGACCCTGAGAGACAACAAGGTTTGTAAGGTCTAGGTAAGTACCAGACACCCTATATCAGTGCACAGCCCTGCATGTATGTATATGCACCATTTTAGGTCACATTTCCCTATTTCCAATATATAAATGATGAATGATAAAATTGGGCTTATGTTGTGAAATTTTGCAATAGTTCCTAACTTTGATATATCGGTGACTGGAGCAGAATTGTTAATTGCGGATAGCAGAAGCTAGAGAATCTAAAACAACTACCTACATGTAATGGAAAAATGGAACTTTGCCCAACAAAGCCAGTAAACCTCTATGTTCCATTGGCATTGTTAAAAGCAATAGGGTAGCATTCCGTTTTTCTTTCTATCTTCCTTTTGGTAATATCTGGCATAAATGCTAGCTTTTCAGAGGCATGTAGCCTGAAAATATTATGCTCTGTTTTCATTATTTTAAGCAAATTTTCTTCTGCTATTTTTAAATAATGTGAATACCAGAGCCTGGGGAATGGCTAAAATTATGTTGCCTTTTTTTAGCAAACCAGAAAGTAACTAAAAGAACTTGAGGATATATTAGGATGTTACTGGTGCCAGCAGTTTGTATGTAGGTTTACAGAATCACAGAAATGTAGGGCTGGAAGGGATCTCAAGAGGTCATGTAGTTCAGCCCCCTGCACTGAGGTACAGTCATCTATACCTCGATCATCCTTGACAGGTGTTTGTCTACCTCATTCTTTAAAACCTCCAGTGACAAGGATTCCATAGCTTCCTTTGCTAACCTATTTAAGTACTTAACTATTCTTATAGTTAGGTAGTTTTCTCAAATATCTAACCTAAACTTCCTTTGTTGCAGATTAAGCCCATTACTTCTCATCCGACTTTCAGAAGACATGGAGAAAAAAATGTCACTGTCCTGTGTATAACAGTCTTTAACATATTTGAAGACTATTATCAGGTCGCCCCTCAATCTTCTTTTCTCCAGACTAAACACGCCCAGTTTTTTAATCTTTCCTCAGAGGTCAGGTTTTCTAAACCGCTTGTCACACTCATTGCTCTCCTCTGGACTCTCTCCAATTTCTCCACATCTTTCTTAAAGTGTGGTGCCCAAAACTGGACAGTACTCCAGCTGAGATCTCACCGTGCCAAATGGAGCGGAACAATGACTGTCCAACTCTTCCATATGACACCCCTGTTAATACACCCCAGAACATCAGCCTTTTTTGCAATTACATCATATTGTTGGTGCATATACAATTTGTGAGCCACTATAACCCCCAGATCCTTTTCAGTAGCACTACCACCTGGCCAGTTATTCCTTACTTTGTAGTTATGCATTTGTATTTTTCTTCCTGAGTGTAGTACTTTGCACTTGTCTTTATTGTTTGCCCTCTGTTTTTATGGGCACATAATACTGTAATAACATGTAGCATTTATCCAGTGTTTTACGTGTTCACAGTGGTGTGAAATTAATGTGTGTTGTGGGTGAATATTATTCCCCATTTTACAGATTGGGAAACTGTGGCAGAGACAAGGCTCATTATTTGTTGTTTCGGTACATAATATATTTAACAGTGAAAGCTAAGAAAAGGGGAAGAAATAAGAGTGAAGGAGAAAAAAATTCCAGTATGCTGAAGTTCCCGGTGAGTGAATGCAATTGCTAAAGAGAAAAGACTTAATATTCTGGAACCTTTTAGTGTTGGCTAGAAAATAGGTATGCATAAATGCTGCATAAAACCAGCATTAAGTGTTTGCACTCTGTACCATTTATTCCTCCTGGGAAGAGGAGTAATATGTGTTGGATGAAGGTACACACATCTGTGTCGGGGCACAGACACACGGACTGCTAAACGTCTGCAGTCTGGAATACGTCTCCATGCCAGAGGACCCGCAGAGCAGCTTCTCTGTTGCTTTTAGGGGAACCCTTGTTGGCCGTAGGGAACTTTTCCCTGCACTCTCTCTGGCTGTGTCTTTGACCCATTAGTGCAACTTGCAGCCAAAATTCAGGCAAAAATCTGTAACAAAAATGACTGTCTCCTCCATTCTTTTGCCTATGTTCAAAAATTCCCATGACACTCACAAAAGGAATCTGTTTCAAAAGCCTTACAAGGATGACAAAAGACTTGTGTCTATTTATTGTACTTATAGGGACCCTGTCTTACCCTAGTATCTGACCAGCTCACAACATTTAATGTATTTATCCTCAGAACTGCCCTGTGAGGTAGGGCAGTACTATTATTCCCCTTGTATAGTTGGGGAACTGAGGCATGGAGAGGCTAAATGACCAGCCCAAGATCACACAAGTCTGTGACAGAGCAGGGAATTGAACTCAGGTTTCTGAGTCCTAAGCTGAGTCTCTATTTGTGATCAAGTGGGCCCAAAGCACCGAACCAACCTTCCTTCAGCCCCATGCTACAAGCAGGCGTTAGCAGGACTTAGGTGCCATTGCAAAAATCCTGGGGACCCCGCCATTGTTTCTGAGCTATACCTACTTCCAGGAGCTGCATTACCTGCATCCCAGGTTTCTCAACTTCCTTTGGAGACCCTAATGCCATCAATGTTCACCTTATAAACACAACAGTATCACGGTAGCCTGCCTCTTGATATACATTATAAGCATTGTTATAGACTTTACCCAGACCAAATTCCATCTTCCCTGTCTTTCACCTAGCTCGCCGGTGGGTGAATCTAGATGCTGGCCATAAATCAGTGAAACAGCAGCAGATCGGTATATCATTTCTTCTGGGAGGGAACAAGTAGAACTTTGTTACAAATTCATTCATGGATGAAACAGCCTCTAAGGCTCTAAAACTACTTGTCATTTCCTCATTCCTGGATGCCAGGTCTTCTTGGGCTTCCATGAAGCCTGTGAGAGGCCATTTGTATTAATAGCTCTAAGCTTCTGCATTTCCTGGATCCGAAACACTAATGAAAAATCCTTCCTGATACTTCTCTAGGGGAAAGGCAGTTTCCTCCATCTCCCCATCCCTATCAGCACATCTGATCCAGCCAGTCAGCTGACCTCCTGGACATTTATGTCCTACGACAGATTTACATGAAACATCTGCCTCTTCTTGGTGGGGTGGGTATTTCATAGTTAAAGGCCACGGGCTATCTCAGGACATGAAATGGTTCTTGCTTCTCAGACAACTGTTCACGGTCTCAGGAGGGGAAACAGCAATCAGACCTTTTGCCCTGGCTGACTTATCATACTGCTGCTTCTGCCCGACTTGGGCTTCCCCTAGGGTCTGTTAAGTAAGATCCTTCATCCTGTATAATTATTTCCCCATCCTGATTCTCAATACTGACTTGACAGGGAAGAGCAGTTCAAAGAATACGAATGGTGGATGCCTGTGTTTTTGATCTATGCAGAAGTTGGTATGGGAACTACTTCGAGCTGATGCCTAAATTATTTTTGGAGCATATTATTCTTCCTAAGGATCTAGATGAACGGCTTTGGAGATTTATGGGAATGATGTTTATGGTGGCATTCCTATAAGCAGAGACAGGTGAGTTTAACCCTGAGATGTTGCCCTTACACATTGCAAATGGTCAGTTCTTAGGAATGTTGGGATAGCTTTGTTGTTCACACAGGAACCTTTAGTTACACTGAGTTCTACTCCATTGATGTCAGTGGGATTACTCCTTGATGAGATATTAGTCACTGTGATAAGGATATGGCAACCTAGTCCTGATTAGTTGGGGAGGCAGAGGGGTACTAACATGTTAGAAAATACTGGAATTACCTTGCTAATACCTCTTGCATTTATTTATTTTTTACTATTATAGCAGCATGGATGTGCAGGGCACTTTACCAACCAATTAGGAGATGCCGCCAACGATGACAGAGGAAGGGGAGACAGGGAAATATTTGGGAGTAAAGATAAAAAGCTCACTTTTTTGCCGCATTATGTTTCAGCCCATAGCAAGAGCTCCATAAAGATGTCAGACAGACACACTGAGGCGCGAGATTCCACAGGGGAGCCAGAGCAGGAGTAAATCTGTGTCTTATCAGTATAATGGAATTACATTGACTTGTGCCCTTGGTGAATTTGGCCTATTGATTAGTCGTCGTCCTCTCCCCCTCTCCCCCCCAAGCACTGCAAAGGAGCTAATATTTATTAGCCCATTTTACTGATGAATAAACAAAGATGCAGCGAGGCTAAGCAATTTATCCAAGGTCACCCGGTGAGTCAGGATTAAAACTCAAAAGTCCTAACTCCCACGTAACACCAGTCACAACACTGACACATGGAATGACTAGTGTAAATATTGGAGATAAAACTACCTACGAGGTAGGACTGATATTAGGCCATAGTTACAAAAATACAAAACAAGCATTGGGCTTCCTATTGTCACACAACCATTTGCAGGGGTCACAGCACTGTTACTTTGGCTATGAGAGCTTGTTGCTGTCTATTCTTGAGTGAGAGAGGTTTTCATCATATACAAAAACAAGTTCTTACAGTGCTACTGCCCCACACGTCTACTACAGTGATACTTGCAGTTTGGGCTATGAGTGTAGTCGACTGTATTTTATTATGAGCAGTATTGTGCCACAAGCCATATTATATATACGGAGTAAAATCCTGGCTTTATTGAAGTAAATAGGTGAAATCCTGTTTCCATATAAGTCAATGGAAGTTTTACTGTGACATCTTGAATCTAAAAAGAGAGGCATTGCTAAAAGTTACCTTAAAATATTCTCTAAAGATCATCACTGAAAGAGTTAACACTTGGAGCCTCCCCTCCCTCATCCCTTGATGTTCTAAACCTTTTCTAACCTACCAGCTTCCCAGAAGTGATTGCCCGCTGTCTGTGAACCAGACTATTTAAGCAGCATGAACCCTCTGAGTTTCAGTCCCTGGGCCTCCCTGCAGTTGTTAAATGGTTCATGTAGTTTGCCAAGCAAAGGGCTGCCTGTGACTAAAAAAAGGAGCCGTTTTAATAGCTCTAATATAGCGGGCCAGCAAATGTACCAATGGGGTACAGTCAGAAACTGGGAAGGGGCAATTTGCAAATAATTTGGAGTTTCCGCTAGGAACAGGGAGCTCGGTGTGTGAGGAACGTGATGATGTCTGACATTTTAGAGGTAAATGGACTAGTCAGTTTTTGTACATTTTCCACTTTGTTGGCAAGTTATTTTCCTGAGAAAACACAATGACCAAAACACCAGTGAAATTTGGTTTCCTTTCCTCCTTAAGGAACATTAATCTCCAGACTGATCATTCTGAATCTGACTTCACACTGAAATTGATGAGAGGTGCTGTTTATTCAACACTCTTTTATGCTCCCTAACATTACCATGCATGTCTGGAAACATGCTCCTTCTTAGTATATTGTCATGCTCACAACACAAGGCACATTGTCACTTCAAGGGGAGCATTATCTAGTGGTTCAAATCAGATACTGAACTCTTCTTGGTGGCAAATGCAAATAGTCTTAGCTAACCGAGCTATGACAAATTATAGCAGATGTCCCTTGGGCTCTATTCTGGGCTGTTCCACCGACATGCAGTGTAACTCAAAAGGAGTCACTCAGTAGCTCTCTGCCTCAGTTTCCCCCCAATCTGAAAAACAGAGATTGCCTGGGTTACAAGGTTGTTGTGGGGCTTTAAAATTAATGTTTGTAAAGCACTTTGAGATCACTCATATCTATATCTATATAAATGAAATTATATACAGTATAGACTAGATAATAATATAAGTGTAAAGGACTATTTAAAATATAAATCAAAGTATTATTACAAGAAGTCTGTTCCAGAGACCCATGCATGGCTTGGATTCAGTAAAGTATGTGCTGTTAGAATCCTTTCTAGTGAAAAAATGTTTCAACAGCAGCTAGTTAAATATTGTGATTTCATATGGCGCCTTTACTTACAGTGTGTCGTTATCTTTAACAACATCTATTTATAATGATCTTTATGAGATAATAAACAGTGCTATCCTATTAACAGTGACCTCAAAGTTCAGCCAAGAACATGAGGAAGTCTGCCAAAATAGCTAGGTGGCCTTTCTTGCAGTCTTGCGGAACACAGCTGACTTTTATTTTTATTTTCAGATCTAGCAATATTAATACCCAAATAAATATAAATTATAGGTGTTAAGTGAAATTTATGGATCGTGAAGGTGTGAATCAGATGGCACCAGCAAAGTGTGGATTCAGGTATAGGCTAGGGATGCAAACTGCTCTTGTGTCGCTTTGCCAATACTCTAATCTTATCTGTAGCATCCCAGGCATTTTATAGCTTTGACGTTTGAAAGAAAATCTATTGGCTTGTCTTCTGGAAAGCTTGGCCTAGGGGAAAAGACAGTTCCTGGTGTAGAGGGAGTTGTTTGTATAGGTGGCTTGGTGGCAGGATGTAGGTTGAGGAAAGACTGGTGATGTAATTAATGCCAAGTTTAACAGACTCCTTGCAGAAGAGGAAAGTCATTGTACCACTATTAATATGACTACTAGTACAACCACATGCTGGGGTTCAGGGGACAGATACAGGCATTGCCAAAGGAGAGGTGGACATTTATGATTCCGAAATGTCATCTGAGTAACATGTTTTGTGTTCTGCGTTGAGCCCTGTTCACTCCTTGGGTTCTTAAACTGTGTCCTCTGGAGCCCTGCAGTCCTCAGAACTCTCCCTAGCAGTCCACAAAATGAAAGAATTTTGCAAACCAAACAATGTGGGAGTCTGGAAAGAGAAAAGGATGCTTGTGAGGTTCTTTCAGTGACAAAGTAGACTGCGGAGTGAAAAGCTGGAGAATGGCTGGTCCAGACAACAGTTCCTGTGTGAAGCGCTGAAATACGCGCTGACCTTCCTGTGCGCCTGACCATCATGTATCATTCCCACAGCCGCATTTTTATGCCCTGGGCAATAAACAGTCACTTTTATACTAACATCTGTATGAAAAGCTTGCTGTCCTCATTGACCAAGAAAACACCCATCCTAATCCAACAGTGCTGTACGGCATAGAACCAACTGGATTGCACACCCCTGCTCTGAAACTTTCTTCTGCCTTCACCAGATTATTTATTGCTGTGTTCCACACTGGGAGGAAGAGAAGGCTTTACGCAATGTCTTCATATTTAAAAACTAAACAGCTTCTATAAAGGCCTCTTGTCACAGTCTGGGTATTAATGTGTTATGCTTTAAATGGTAACCCACAGCTGAATGCATTCTATGCTATGGATCTGGCTAGCGTATGTGCGATGTTGACACAAATTATGGCATTATGTTGTATATGATATCTGATATTATTTTTATTATAATACCAAGATCAAGGCCCTAGAATGACTCATTCCTGAAGCACTTACATTTAGAGATGTGCGAATAACAGATTTTTCAGATCACTGGCCATTCTGGAAAAAACACGGTTTGGGGTGACCCAAAAATGAACTTTTTTGGCGAATCAAAAATATTAAATAAAGTCATTTGGGGTTGAATGGACCATTTAAGTTTTACCAAAAGTTAAATGCTTTGTTTAGATTTCAAGAGGTTTTTTTAAAGTTAAAAAAATAATTAAATCGGAAGAACATTTCAAAAACAAAAGGTTGTTTTGAATCAAAAAGGATTGAAATAAAACATTAAATTTTTTCTTTTAACATCAACAATTTGGCAAAACCAACATGAATTCACAAAATTTTCAGTATTGCTGAAAATGCATTTTTCGCTGGACAAAAGTTTCACCTCAAAAATTTCACTTAGATCTACCTACACTGCAAATAGATAAGACAAGATGGTGTTATCCTAATTTTACAGTTGAAGAACTGAATCAAAGAGACGTTAAATGACTTACCTGTGGTCACACAGGAAGTCCACTGCAGGAGCAGGAAGCTAACCCAGTTACACTTTTTGCTCTATTTAAATTAGCTAAACCTTCACATCTTCATTGATACAATACAGGGCCCGAAGAGAGCCTTAAACCCTACATACCCTGTGTAGCCCATGCTTACTGAATATGGATGTCTAGACCACACATGGAAGTTAGTGAACAGCAAACTTGCCTTTTTAGGGATACCTGGCATACCAGGCTTCCCAATTGCCTATTGTAGGAGAGAGAGAGAGAGAGCGCCTGGATCACTGGGCCAGATGCAAGACCTGAGGCCTGCACTAAAGGCTATGAACCAAAGTTAGGCCTAGAGCTGGATTTCCAATTAGGCACAGTAGGCACGTGTTTAGGGGCACCTGTGTTCTAGGGGTGCCTTACCTCTCTGAAACTGTGTGCAACAGAAAGGTCAGATGTAGATGGGGGGGCACTGAAGATGCTATGCCTAGGGGCGCGTAAGGTATAAATCCGGCCCTGGTTAGGCCATGTATTAAAGTAGATGTTTACAAATTCACTGTCCAATATGTAAAAAGAACAGGAGTACTTGTGGCACCTTAGAGACTAACAAATTTGATAATTTAATAAATTTGTTAGTCTCTAAGGTGC